TCCAGTCATGGTTGCGGGTATGACTCCTTGCACCGTTCCTTGGGACTTCGTCGCTGCCACCATGAACGCCGGCTACCACATCGAATTGGCCGGTGGTGGTTACTTCATTGACCCCATGATGACCGCCGCGATCCGCAATATCGAGGGTGCCATCCCTGCCGGTCGTGGTATCAACATCAATTTGATCTACGTCAACCCGCGTGCCATGAGCTGGCAGATTCCCATGATCGGCAGGCTCCGCGCCGAGGGTGTCCCCATTGAGGGTCTCACTATCGGTGCTGGTGTTCCGTCGATCGAGGTTGCCAACGAATACATTCAAACGCTTGGCCTGAAGCACATTGGCTTCAAGCCCGGTTCTATGGATGCTATTCAGCAGGTCATCAACATTGCCAAGGCTAACCCGACTTTCCCTGTCCTCCTTCAGTGGACTGGTGGTCGCGGTGGTGGTCACCACTCTTTCGAGGATTTCCATCAGCCCATCCTCCAGATGTACGGCCGCATTCGCAAGTGCGACAACATCATCCTCGTTGCAGGCAGTGGTTTCGGTGCTGCCGAGGACACTTACCCCTACCTCACCGGTGTGTGGGCTAACAAGTTTGGTTTCCCTGCCATGCCCTTCGACGGCTGCCTGTTCGGTAGCCGTATGATGGTTGCCAAGGAGGCCCACACCTCGCCGGCTGCTAAGCAGGCGATCTGTGACGCGCCTGGTGTTGATGACAGCGAGTGGGAGAACACCTACAAGCGTCCCACCGGCGGTGTTATTACCGTTCGCTCTGAGATGGGTGAGCCGATTCACAAGCTTGCCACCCGCGGTATCATGTTCTGGGCCGAGATGGATCAGAAGATCTTCACCTTGGACAAGGCCAAGCGTCTTGTGGAGCTGAAGAAGAACCGTGACTACATCATCAAGAAGCTCAACGACGACTTCCAGAAGCCTTGGTTCGGCAGAAACTCCGCTGGCGAGTCTGTTGACCTTGAAGACATGACCTACGGTGAGGTCGTCCGTCGCCTGGTTGAGCTCCAGTACGTCAAGCACCAGTCGCGCTGGATCGACGTCTCCCTGCGCAACTTCACTGGAGATTTCATTCGCCGCGTTGAGGAGCGCTTCACCTCCACCCCCGGCAAGCCTTCGTTGGTTCAGAACTTCAAGGAGCTCGACCAGCCTTTCGAGTTCATCGAGAAGCTTCTCAAGGAGTACCCTGAGGCCGACAAGCAGCTCATCAACGCTCAGGATGTGCAGCACTTCCTTATGCTCAGCATGAGGGTCACGCAGAAGCCTGTTCCCTTCGTTCCTGCCCTGGACGAGAACTTCGAGTTCTACTTCAAGAAGGATTCCTTGTGGCAGTCCGAGGATCTCGACGCTATTGTCGACCAGGACGTTGGCAGAGTGGCCGTCCTTCAGGGTCCCATGGCTGCCAAGTACTCCACCAAGGTCGACGAGCCGATCAAGGACATTCTCGATGGCATTCACAACGGCCACATCAAGGCTCTGACCGAGGAGCTCTACGGCGGCGATGAGTCCAAGATCCCAGTTGTCGAGTACTTCGGCTCCAAGCTCCTTGGTGCTCACGATGACGTCGTTGAGGTCGAGGGTCTTACCGTTTCTGAAGTTCCCGATAAGACCATCTACAGGCTCTCGTCTGCGCCTAACGCCACTCTTCCCGACATCAAGTCGTGGATGCAGCTCCTGGCCGGCAACACTTACTCTTGGAGGCACGCTTTCTTCACCGCCGATGTCTTCGTTCAGGGCCAGAGGTTCGAGACCAACCCGATGCAGAGGATCTTTACGCCTACTCTTGGCATGATGGTTGAGATCTCGTACCCCAACGAGCCTTCCAAGACTGTCATCACCATGAGGGAGCCTTCCACTGGTGGCAAGCACATCAAGACTGTCGAGATCAGCCTCCAGGGCCAGAATGAGATCTTGGTCAACATGATTGAGGAGCGTTCTGCTCTCCACAAGCCCGTTGCTCTGCCTCTCAAGTTCACTTACCACCCGGATTGTGGCTACGCGCCCATCCGCGAGGTCATGGAGTCTCGCAACGACAGGATCAAGGAGTTCTACTACAAGCTTTGGTTCGGCGACGAGGAGTGCCCCTTCGATGCTTCCGTCACTTCCACTTTCGAGGGCGGTAGGGCTACCATTACCGGCGAGGCCATCAATGACTTCGTCCACGCTGTTGGCAACACTGGCGAGGCCTTTGTCGACCGTCCCGGCAAGGAGGTCTTCGCGCCCATGGATTTCGCCATCGTCGTCGGCTGGAAGGCCATCACCAAGCCCATCTTCCCTCGTGCTATCGACGGTGATCTGCTCAAGCTTGTCCACTTGTCGAACGAGTTCCGCATGATCCCGGGTGCCCAGCCTCTCAAGAAGGGCGATGTCCTCGACACCACCGCCCAGGTCAACGCTGTCATCAACCAGGAGTCTGGTAAGATGGTCGAGGTCTGCGGCACTATCACTCGCGATAACATCCCCGTCATGGAGGTTACCAGCCAGTTCTTGTACCGCGGTGCTTACACCGACTTCGAGAATGCCTTCCAGCGCAAGTCGGAGACGCCCTTCAACCTGCACCTTGCAACTACCAAGGACGTCGCTGTTCTGCGCTCGAAGGAGTGGTTCAAGCTCGAGGACTCTGACATTGATCTCCTGAACAAAACCCTGACCTTCAAGCTCCAGACGCTGACCCGCTACAAGAACAAGAGCGTCTTCAGCTCTGTGGAGACTGTTGGTGAGGTCCTGCTTGAGCTGCCTACCAAGGAGATTGTCCAGATTGCTTCCGTGGAGTACGAGGCAGGCACCTCGCACGGCAACCCTGTTGTCGACTACCTTGAGCGCACCGGCACCAAGGTTGACCAGCCTGTGCTCTTCGAGAACCCCATTCCTCTGCACGGCAAGAACCCGCTTACCCTCAAGGCTCCTGCGTCCAACGAGACCTACGCGCGCGTCTCCGGCGACTACAACCCCATCCACGTGTCTAGGGTGTTCTCCAAGTTTGCCAACCTCCCTGGCACCATCACCCACGGCATGTACTCCAGTGCTGCCGTCCGTAGCCTTGTCGAGACCTGGGCCGCTGAGAACAACATCGGCCGCATCCGCAGCTTCCACGCCGATCTCGTCGGCATGGTCCTGCCCGATGATGATATCGACGTCAAGCTCCAGCACGTCGGTATGGTCTCTGGTCGCAAGATCATCAAGATCGAGGCCTCCAACAAGGAGACTGAGGAGAAGGTCCTCCTTGCTGAGGCTGAGGTTGAGCAGCCGACTTCCGCGTACGTGTTCACCGGTCAGGGTTCGCAGGAGCAGGGTATGGGTATGGACCTGTACAACAGCAGCCCCGTCGCCAAGGAGGTCTGGGACCGTGCCGACAAGCACTTCCTGGACAACTACGGCTTCGCCATCACCCATATTGTCAAGAACAACCCCAAGGAGCTCACCGTTCACTTTGGTGGACCTCGTGGCAAGGCCATCCGCCAGAACTACATGTCCATGACTTTCGAGACTGTGGCTGCTGACGGCACCGTCAAGTCGGAGAGGATCTTCAAGGAGATCGACGAGGACACTACCTCGTACACTTACCGCTCTCCTAGTGGCCTGCTCTCTGCTACTCAGTTCACGCAGCCGGCGCTTACTCTCATGGAGAAGGCCGCCTTCGAGGACATGAGGGCCAAGGGTCTTGTCCAGACTGACAGCAGCTTCGCCGGTCACTCGCTCGGTGAATATGCTGCCCTTGCTGCCCTTGCTGAGGTCATGCCCATCGAGAGCTTGGTGTCTGTCGTGTTCTACCGTGGTCTGACTATGCAAGTCGCTGTCGAGCGCGATGAAGCTGGTCGCTCCAACTACTCCATGTGCGCGGTCAACCCCAGTAGGATCTCGAAGACGTTCAACGAGCAGGCTCTCCAGTATGTTGTTGAGAACATTGCTGAGCAGACTGGCTGGTTGCTCGAAATTGTCAACTACAACATCGCCAACATGCAGTACGTCGCTGCTGGTGACCTGAGGGCTCTCGACTGCCTTACCAACGTCACCAACTACCTCAAGGCGCAGAAGATCGACATCCAGCAGCTGATGCAGACCCTCTCGCTTGAGGACGTCAAGGCTCACCTGGTCGAGATCATCAAGGAGTGCGCCAAGCAGACCGAGGCCAAGCCGAAGCCTCTGGAGCTGCAGCGTGGCTTCGCGACGATTCCGCTCAAGGGTATCGACGTGCCGTTCCACAGCACGTTCCTGCGGTCCGGTGTCAAGCCTTTCCGTTCGTTCTTGCTGAAGAAGATTCAGAAGACGTCGATCGACCCCAGCAAGCTGATCGGCAAGTACATTCCCAACGTGACTGCTCGTCCTTTCGAGCTCACCAAGGAGTACTTCGAGGACGTGTACCGCCTCACCAACTCGCCCAAGATTGGCAACATTCTCGCCAACTGGGAGAAGTACGATGATAAGCCGCAGGAGGCGGCGACTGCGACCGCTCCGGCGTCGTAGATGACGGGAAGAATGCACGAAGAAAAATGAGGGGGCAAAAAATGAAAACGGCGAACTGTGTTGGTAATGATTTATTGCTTTGGAGTTATGGTAGGATGGGTTCAAGAGGCATCTAGATTTTGCGAGTTCATGTATATCCATGGCGGTGGCTTGTTCTGGTGCATTAAGTCATACTCTGTTTGTGCTTAGATTTTCAAATTAAAACTTCAAACTACTTGCTTGTGCCTTCCAACATGTGAAATGGATTTCTCGGGCTCGCTTGTCAATGAGTCCAGCGCTGGCATGTAGAAGGCCGAGAATGCGAAAGGCAGGTGGTAATAATGTGTTGGGAACGTGCTCAAGGCGCGCACGTGAGCGCGAGGGGTCGGCGCGGCATCAAGCTCAATCGCCGAGGTTTTACCGCTGTTAGGTTGTCACGTTGTAAACATCCCAGAAGCATGTCAAGCGCAAGCTAATACAACCTGCCTGACCCTCACCCGGTCAACCGCCGCCGCCGTCGCCGCACCACCTGTGCGCTCTCGCTATGGATCGGTTTCGCTCGGCGCACACGCCGATGGATTACGAGTACTCAAACGGCACCGGCCCTATCGATGAGAGCTCGCCGTTTATCACCGCGTCGCGCAACGTGAACGCGCAAAACAAGAAACGTAAGTTAGGTGCGCCACCACTCCGCGCTGGCTACCTTGCGATTGTGCAGAAGCTCTAGCGGCATTGTGAGATGTTTTTGGGCCGGAATTGATGTATTTTCGTGTATGACAGGGAATCACAGTCTATTCGACTCGCCGAACAAGTCCGCACCCAGCCTCCGGCCTCCAGCCTCCCAATCCTTCTACTTTTCGCAAGCGCCCTCGGCAGTTGATTACAACACCGGACGCAGCAGCCCCACCAAGCCCCTCTCCTCCGTTCCTGAACATCTGCAAAACCCCAAGTTTTCGACCCCGCGCAAGCCCGTTGCCGACTTCAATTTTAGCTCCGGCGGCGAGACGCCCGAAACACCTGGAGATCCGGACGCGGACAACGCAGATAGCGAGGCTACGCCCGACAGCAGCTTCATGGGCTTCAAGAGTCGTGCGGCGAGTTTCATGGCGGGTGGGAAGAACAGGGACAATGCGAGTCCAACGAAGAGTCCGACGAAGGAGGCGAAGGATCGGAGAAGAGACAGCTGGATAGGCGGGCTGGCCAAGGTGCTCGGCAGCCCGGGGAAGGAAACGAGCGTGGCCAGAGTGCCCTACTCGGATAAGGCCGAGAAGCGCATCATCAGGCGCCGGCAGAAGGAGACGGGTCGGAGACGAAACTCTGGACGCACACGGCGCGGTGCTGAGGCCGACTCGGACGACGACGACAGGACCAAAGATGGGAAGAATCCAGCAACGACCAACGTCATCGGCGCAATTCTCTCCTATATCGACTCGCATCCGAACCTCCCGCACACCCTGTCCTACTACGCCCAGCTCATACTGAACTTCTTTTTCGTTGGCTGCATCATCTGGATCGTTTACTCGTTTTGGAGCGCAATTCAGAGCGATGTGAATATCGAAGCAGACCGAGCTATTGCTGAGGCATTAGCTGAGATGGCTGTGTGCGCACGGGACTACCGCGAGAATAGGTGTGCCCCGGAAACGCGCGTGCCTGCGATGGCACAGCTTTGCGACAACTGGCATGCGTGCATGAACCGGGACCCGAAGAAAGTCGGTCGCGCGAGAGTCAGTGCGCATACGTTTGCGACCATCTTCAACAGTTTCATCGAGCCCATCAGTTGGAAGGCCATGGTATGCTGCGCCCTCGGCTGTGTCTGCCACTCATTCGCTATGGATACGTTAGCTGACCCATCTTTCTTAGTTCTTCTGCCTCATAATTGTTATCGTCTGCCTCTTCGTCAACAACATTGCATTCACCAAGTTCCGGAACACTCACCCAGTTCATCACCAGCAGGGTCATCCGGATCCCTCTCAACAGTACCACCAGCAGTGGCAGCAGCAGCCCCAGTGGGGAGTCCCGCCTACCCCCCAACGGTACCCTAGTGGAGGATGGGACACTCCAGGTCATCCGATGATGATCGGAGGTTTCTACCAGACCCCTGCGCACCACTCAATGCAGCAACATGGAGGTTTCGAGCCGCGGCCAAGTCAGACTCCTGGTGGCCCGGGAGCACACCAGCAACCAGCCGGCAATACAAGTCCGGTGAAGCGGCTGCAATTTTAGCATCATCGAAAGACACAGCGCCGACCTCTTTTCTCGGCCTGCTTTCCGTGTTATGAGTTTCCGATACCGAAAAGTGTTTGGTCCAAAGTATCAAGGATCTTATGAGTATTGCCAGGGCTGCACGCATATCGCTGGCCACGTTGGTTCTCCAGTTTCCTTTTTTGGGTTTGCTTCTTCCTTTCTTCCCGTGTATCAGCATACCATTGAATACGCATCCGGCGGCGATGCGCGGCGTTTTGCGGCATCCATGAATGACATGGAATGGGATACGGTTGGAATAGGGGTGTGAAAAATTCACGGGCGGCATCAGAAGGCCGAGCAATGCGATGATTTTCTTTGGTTCCAATTCCGGCATTTTTGATTCTCCATCTCTCTCCTACGTGTTGCCTCTTGAGTGTCTTGCGGAAAGTGCTTCCGTCGTAAGCGCCTGAGAAGAATGTGACGAGTCACACGCTGGAGACGGAACTGACAGAATGGCAGACACGACGCCGAACGTTCGATTGTCGATCGGGTAGTTCGAGGTATGTTGAGCCATTTCCCGTGTGGAACTGCTGTCACTGACATCGCATCACTCGATGATGAGGCGAAGTGCGATGGTTCGTGTGGTTAGGCCGCAATTGACAGGCCTGCCCTGTCGCTTACCCCTGGGCGGGAGACCCTGGACCTGGCTGCACGTAAGGCTGCGTGGCAGCGGAGCAGCAAACGCGCGATCCTGCAGGTGTTCTGGCCTATCACCAGCATGGCTTGGACATCACCTCTTTCGGGCAACGACGTCTCTGCTCTCAGCAACACGACAACGAAAATTTTCCCAGCTGGTGAGATGCTACAACGCATCCACGGTGACTCAAGGGTGCACAGGCTCCGCCCTGCGAGGCTTCGAGAAGGATTCTATCACTTGGCATGCAGTTCCACTGACCGGTGATCGTCAGGATCGGCCCGAAACGGGAAACTCTCCACCACATACCGGTCCACCAGCTCGCCGCGGAAGCGCGTAGCGCGCAAAATCCACCAGGCGGCAAACGGCTCAGATCGCTGGGCCATCGGGATTTGCCAATGGTCGTGCGTGCGCTTAGGGATCATCGGCGTCAAGCGACTCGTCGTGGACGACATCCGCGCGCGATGCCGAAATGTAAAGAGTCTACCAGCGAGGTCGCCCAAGGCAGAACAGGCTTGCGGCGCCTTGAATGAGGCTGTCTAGCTCTGGCATGGGCGTTGGGCTTGCATACAGTCATCGCTTGCCTCAGACAGCCGGGGGGACGTCGTGTTGTTCTAAGGCATACGTAGGTCTTCAACCCGGATGCTCGGGAGCACGCTGCTGACGGGGAATCCAGCTCTGCGGCAATTGGGCTCGCTTGTCAGCGCCACCCCGGCAGAAACACCTAATCATGCATGCTCTGACGAACGAAGCAGCCAGCAAGGCTATGCCGAAAATTTTCGACCTGGACGAGTTTCACGCCCGCGTGGCTGTTTTGGCCCGATTGGTTAGAAGTGCTCACTCACCGCATCGCCACCATGACTATCAACCACCACCCCTGAGCATCAGCCTGGTTTTGCTTGTTCTGGCCCCCGTACTCCAAGACAGGGCCCAATTTGCGCAATCAGCGGGAAGAACCACTGCGGGCCGTTGGCTGCGATCCCGCGCGGCTCTGGATGCTACAGAGTAAACACGTACATTGGTGGTCGATCATTCAGGAACGCCGCCTCAAGGTCGCCTTCACTAGAGAGTCATCGCTGGGCTGACCGGTCACGAAGCAAGGGGCAACGTGGATAGGGGGAGACAGCACATCGAGCGAGCACACACCACCGCTAACCACTGACCACCCAAGCATCAGAAGAGTCAACGTTTCCAAAAATTACCCACAGGAAGTTTTTTCTTTGCCTGCGCCACCCATCACACAACAACACACAACTCACACACTGCAGCGGCAGCCCAAGGCCCCAGACGAACAACGCAAACTTTGTCCAACACCATCTATATAACAAAGCCACCCGCCCGTGCCATCCACCATGGGACTCCTCCGTGCAGCAACCACTTTCAGCGTCAAAGATTTCACAGTCTCGGCGACCACTTGGCTTACCATCTCTTTCCGTCCTTTCCTCCAGCAAGCCTTCTTCTTCGTCATCAATTCCTTCTTTCCAATCATGTTCCGGGCCAACAAGAGGGTTACCTCTACCACTGCTTCTGCTCCCTCTCCTGCTGCTGGCGGCATGGATGTCATGGAGGTGACCAGACCCCGCTCGGCTGCCGGACCGGCAAGGCCCCCGTCGAGGATGCAGCGCAAGCCTAAGCCCCAGGGACCCTGGCCCAGGGATGCTGGTGGTCAGTAAATGCCTTCTCCACGAGAGCCACCCATGTGGAGTTGAAGTCATTGTATGTATCATGCCATCTTGCATCTTTGGGATCTATCAGCTGACGACCTACTGAAGCAAACCTTCTTCCACACGAGGACCACGATTTCCTTTGTCTCTATCTCGACACTCTTCCCTCCAAATATTGGCAAGGCAACGAATTACATCACGATAATCATAATCGCCAACCTGAATCAACATGGACGAAGCACGAAGGACGATAATCGATAATTTTCCGGCATCCATCAAACCACTTCCTAACAACATCACCACCAACCGAAGTCTCCCAACCTCTGCAACGCCGCTGGTCGGCTCTCATCAATCCAAAACAAAAAATTAAAAAAAAAAAAGGACATGCGCCCTTACCGACACCAATTACCGAGAGAGAAAAAAAGAAAAACATCAAACGACATGATCATTCTTTCCTTGATGCTTTCCGCTCATCCTCCATCCGATCCAACAGCGGGAGGGAAGACGAGGGAGAGAGGGAGGACCTAGGCGGCGCACCGGCGCCCCCCGGATCATCCGGTTTCCACGAACGGCACACGGACCCACACACCGGTCAGTGTTCACCGCCTTGGAGCTGCAGCAACACCCCACAGATGCACCACTTGCACACGCGCATGCTGTACGCACGGTCGTCCTCGCTCCTCCTTCTCCTCCACCTCTTTCTCTCTCTTGTCCAACGCACGGGCGGGGCCGCACGCGCGCTCGTGCAGGATCTCGTCTTTTTGGGGTGCGAGCGCTCGTCACGCGATAGCGCGCTTTTTTCCCGTTCGGCCTTGGCTTGCGCGCTTCTTCGCTGGCCAGCCCGTCCGGTTCCCGCGCTGCCGCTGCCGCCGCCGCCCGCCCGCCGCCGTCGCTTTTTCGCGCTGCGCAGCGTCTTTTAGCGTTCCGCCGTTGCCCGTCGGCCCATTTTCCTTCAACTGTCAACGCCAGATCAATGCGAGCAGTCATGGACCGGGATGAATTAATGCCCTTGTGGGCTCGCGGCCTTTCGTTTTATCGCTCGTCCGGAGCGGTCGGAGCATGCGGCTACGTGGTCGCGCAACTGCATATGGATGATGAGGTGTTCAACAAAAAAAAAAAAGCGGAGTCGGTTCGACGAAGGGTACTTGTTGGGTGAATCGGGGAAGAGGCGATATTGGGAGGGGTCATGAAGATGCGACGAAGAAATGTCTTGTTACGCAGGGGGGATGATGCTTGGGGCGTTTTTTTTTATGGTTCAGCTTGTTGGGATGCATTTGAGGGACGATACCTGGGTTTTTTCCTTTTCTCTATTGCATAGATGGCGTTCTTTTGTTTTTTAAACGTTATAGAAGTATGTAGATCTTTGATTGGCACGCGCTATGTATGGTCTTGGTAATTGTAGGTAGATCAGTATTACTACTTTTCGCTTCCAGTTGTTGTTCTGTCTTTGTGAGAGAGCTGTGATGGCTCGTGTGACTTGAGGCGCCAAAGCAGCAGACCACCAGAACGATTCTCGTGGAAGTGGGACCTTACTGATGGGAAAAGTGAGCATGCGAATTCAAGCCATGTGCAACTGAGTGGCATGTCTATTTCGGAAATGTTTAGACCAATAGGTAAGGTAACTATAAACTACAGGCTTTTTTTGGTTCTACCGCCGAGCGGTCGTCCTTCCGTGTCAGGCGTCCCGCGCCTCTACTTTTATTTGAACCTCTGTGCTTGTAACGCCATTTTCCCTTCGCTTTTTTCTTTTTTCGCGCACACACAAGTTATTTTCCGCCAGTCCAAATTTCAAGAACAGTGAAATGAACGATCGAGTATCAAAGGCGTGCTTGATCGAAAACCGCGTTTGTCTCTGTAATCGGAATCAGTGATGTACCGATCTGGTCATACGGATTCACACACCCGCAGCATGGGAAATTCATCATGACTCAGCGGCGACGTCTGGTCTTCGACGAACATTTCTTAACACCGCATTTACTTCTCCTACTTTCCTTCTTGTTTGGGTTGCAGTCGTGTCCCCCGCCTCGCATGCGCATCCAATCAGCGCACACACCGCATCGCTTGACGTTTCTGTTGTTGTTGTTGTCATCATCGATGATATTATTGAGTGCTTGTTCGGGGCTTCCGTTGCCGAGTCGACTTAGCTCTCGCTGTAGTAGCATTTGTGGTGTTTGTTTCGGTCGGGGGAGGGTCGTGGATCTGTAACACCGGTCGGAGGAACGTCCGGTTAGGTGTGTGTGGCTGGATGGCTACGGAGCTGAGTTTTGAATCGCTGAATGATCGTAATGAAGTCTTCGTAGAGGACTGAGAAACTTCTGCTGAAAATGAAGTATGGGGAAGACTTGGGGGGGTGTCAGAATGGGTGGGTGCACTGGGCTTATATATTTTCAAGTGCTGTTGCCGGAGCACGTATCAGCAAGGAATATCCCGCGAGAAAAAGACGATTCATGGGCAAGCTTACACGGTATTAATTGTGGCTGAGAGGACTGCGAGAGATGCGCTGGCATGGAGATAAAAAGCAAAAGACAGTCACAGCAAGAGTCAAACAGTCAGACCTAACCCCCCCCAAGGGCCCGTGCAACGCCATTCCACTTCTGCTGACCCAAGGTTGGAGAGGCAACACTGGTTTCCCCCCGGTCCCCTTCCTATCGTCCGTGCACGACGCGCTGATCTGAGCCGTTGTTTCCGCAGCGCACACGGGGGGTCCTGAGACGGGGAGATGGCGTGAATTTTGCTTCTCTACGAGTCGACGTGATTCTAACCTATCATATCACCATGACCACGCCAGAAATATCTAGTTCGTACATTTATATACGCATTGTGCACTCGTGTCCAGATGAAAGCTTCCGCTCCTCGTCTCCTGTTGCAATACCTAGCAAGCGAGACGACCTCCTAATCCTTGCGCTATCTTTTGGCCGCGGGACCCTTCTGTAGCTGCTAGTACACAAAGGTGCCTGAATGAACTCGTCATTCCAACTGACCCTGCGTCAGGCAGCCGGTCGCCGCTGCCTGCTACCGATAGCTGTTCGCGAATGTTTTGATATTGTCTAGGCCGGGCGGGTGACACCCTGCACCGACTGCCAGGTTCCCGAGCCTAATATTCCTAAAACTCGCTCCAGACCGCACTAGACCCGTTCTGTGTGGCGTCTTATTGTCTCGTAGCTTATCGAGTTTATGTGAGGAATCGAAAGGCCCGACTAGGTAAGACGAATGGTATCGTTTGTCGAAGCGAATTGTTTCATCATCTGTCCACACGGCCGATCGCATGGCGATACTAGAAGATATTGAACAGGGTATCAGCATGGTCGTTGCCAATAATGCGGGACGGTCTGTCGTTGCAGTAGTTTTCGTTGGTTGTCTTCGTTGCGCGCTGTCTGTGGCGCCTGTTCAGTCAGTTCCTAGTACCTACTCCGTAGCAAAGGGATGGATCTACTCAACACCCAGGACTCATTACCTCTTATCTGACTAACACATCATGTGGAAATGAAGTGGTCTCGGCTTGCACAATTTCGGGACGTGCGCTTCAACCTGTTTGCCTCGTGCTGGGATGAGCGCTAGAGAGAGTGTCCATCATCAGCACAAGAAAAGGCGAATGAACCACTGGGCCCATCAGCCTATGCAGGTATCACCTGAAAAGTTTAGTGCAGGACCCATTTAGGGCATTGTTCGACACATGGCGTGTTCATCTTGCGACAATCAAAGTTAATGAAAGAGCGTATACCTGAAAGGAAACACCTTTTCTTGTCAATGAATTCGTGATGGCGAGGACAGCGTGTTTTCCGTAGAGAAAGGTTCATTTAGTAGCTAAGCCTCGGAAGACCAAATTTTTATGGTCATGCGCCGCGAGGCAGTGCAGTGTGGCGGTGATCAGAGGAAATAGGCAGCAAGGCACTTTCCACGCGCAAAAGAAAAAAAAAAAAAAAGAAGATTAGTAATGCGGAGTCATGGTCGCTGTTATTTTATGATTAGTGGGTAATCTGCATTACATCATTTTGGGGCAGGAGGACTGAGCTAGGTAGTCTTTCCCGTGTGTAAAGGCTAGTTCCGATTCTGAAGGCTTCTGGCCACCGCGGAAGCTTTAGAAAAACGCCCTAGTAATTATGTAAGCTCATTATTAGAAGTGAACTCGAAGGGAGCCTAACGAAATATATTGAGATAACTCCCTAAGGTGGCGATTTAGTACCCTCTGTAGCACACGCTTCTCCGCACGTCTATGTGGCGTTTTCAGCATACCCTGTGCTAGACGCGCGAAATCTTTAGGCTACACGTTCCGCAGCTTCCTATCGCCCGATACGCGATCTGTGCCTTCCTTCATGCTGACTCGACTTGCATGTCGCGGAACACCGACGGATTTCATCGCCACCTCAGCCTTCAGGGGATGAAACATGGTGGGCGTGTCTCCGTCGGCGCAGAACCAATTACCGGGGCTACCAAGGCCTCAGCTGAATCAATCAAAAATTTTCCCTGCGCGTGTTCGAGCGATGAAATCTCCGGCGAACAGAGCCTGCGATCTTCATACGACTAGCCAATGGGGAGAAATGCCGCTCGGCAGGAGATTGACTCCCGGAAACGCCTGAGACGGTTCTCTGCTGTCTATGATTTGCGAAGAAGTTGCGGCCAATATTCGAAAACCGGGGTGCGTCGGCGGATCGTGCCATTCCGCTGAGGCCGCCCCCCTTGTCCTTGCTGGTCGTAGATCTCATATTACACCCCGATCTCTCGAGATGAGCCTTCTTGCCCAAGCGCTCAAATGGCGGTTGCCTACATGCTGCGGCTGTGCGGCGTAGAAGCCGGGATTTAAAAATAGCTAGGCCACAAGGCAGACTTTGGAAAAGAAAAAGAGAAGAAAAAAAAAGGCAAAATTGATAGTTTGGTCCGGCCCGGAATATTGATGGTTGCCGGAGCAGCTCACCGCTTACTTCACATATTGCGGGGAAGAATACGGGCATTTCGGTGATCAGGCACGCCTTGCCAAAGTTGGACGCGCCGACGCAAGGAACAATGACGAC